GCCAAGAAATAGTGTCTGAGTCTCCTCGCCGCGTTGACGAGGGCTAGAGCTACTTTTTCTATCTATTGGTATCTGCTCTCGGGCCCTTGTAGGGCTTTGCTCGTGAAATAAACGGGTTTCTGCTCGTCGGTGGTCTCGCGGATGAGAGTCGCGCTGATGTCTTCGTTCGAGACGGCCAGGTATAAGAACAAAGGTTCCCCGTCGACTGGTCAAGACAGTACGGGCGGTTGGGATAGGCTTTGTTTTAGGTGGCGCAACGCCCGTTCGCATTCCTCGGTCCATTCGAAGGCTGCCTCTTTGCGAAGGAGTCTGAAGAAGGGGATGGCATGCTGAGCGGATCTCGCGACGAAGCGGGACATCGAGGTGAGCATGTCGTTCATGACTTGTATTGATTTCTTTGACGTGGGTGTCGGGAGGTCGGAGAAAGCTCGACACTTGTCGGGATTGGCTTCAATTCCTTGTTCTGTCAGGTAAAAACTGAGGAATTTCCCTGCCTTGACCCCGAACGTGCACTTCTCGGGGTTGAACCTCATCTTACATTGTCTTGCTTGGGCAAAGACTGCTTTGAAGTGGGATGCATGGTCGGTGTCTGCTCGGGATTTGACGATCATGTCGTCCATGTAAACCTCGAGCATGTCCCCGATTTGTTTGTGGAACACTTTGTTCATCATATGTTGGTATGTTGCCCCTGCGTTTTTTAGACCAAAGGGCATTACGTTGTAGTAATAGTTGCCCGAGCTGGTCATGAAGGCAATGCAATGCTTGTCGCTCATGGCCATTGGGATCTGGTTATAGCCTGAATAGGCATCCATGAACGACAGTATTTTGTAATCGGCCGAGTTGTCGACCAGCATGTCTATGTTCGATAAAGGAAAAGCATCCTTCAGGCATGCCCGATTGAGGTCGGTATAATCAACACACATTCGCCATTTTCCATTATTCTTTTTGACCAATACAATGTTTGACAACCAGGTTGAATACCGGGCTTCAGAAATAAAATTTTCCTCTAAGAGGTCTTTTACAGCTTTTTCAACAGCCTCCGTTTTCTCGGTGGACTGCCTACGCCTACGTTGTACTATTGCCTTAGCGGCTGGAACTATGGCGAGACGGTGACAGGCGACCTCGGGGTCGAGTCTGGGCATCTCTGCGGCGCTCCACGCGAACAAGTCAGCATTCTCGCGTAAGCAGGCTTTGATCTGCTTTCTTGCCAGGTCGAGGAGGTCGGTGCCGATCTTCACTCCTTTGCTTGGGTCCTCGCCGAGGGGGGCGAGCTCGAAGTCCTCGTCCGGGATTGGTCGGAGGGGGGCTTGCTCGCCGCCGAGAGGCTCATCCTGGTCGAAACGGGTGCCCAAGGCTATGGAGTCGACCGGGGGAGCCCTCTGTTCTTCTGCCTTGACGGGCTCTGTCTTCTCGGGCTCTAGTCGTGTCGTCGCTGGTCTCTTGGAGGGCCTTGTCCCAGTGTCGACCGTGTCGCGTCCCTTGGACGCCGCATTGAAACACCTTCGAGCAGCAGCCAGATCCCCTTGGATGGTGGCGACCCGTGCCCTCTTGGTGTAAAACTTCATCTTCAAGTGGACGGTAGAGGGTACCGCGGTCAGTTTTGCTAGTGTTGGTCGTCCCAGGATGCAGTTGTAGAGGGACGGGCAGTCGATCACGAGGAAGCGCACCTTGACCTGCCTCGTCGTTGTGTCCTCGCCAAAGGTAACCATGAGCTCGACGTATCCCCAAGGTTTGGAGGTCGAGCCGTTGAAGCCTTGTAGGTCCGACCCCACATAAGGTGAGAGGTGTGAGTCGTCGAGCTGCAGGGTCCGGAACAGTTGACTGTACATTACGTCGACGGAACTTCCTTCGTCGATGAGAATGCGGTGTACGTCAAAATTAGCCATTTTCGCTCTTATTAGTAGAGGAATGACTGCGTTGGGGGCTCCTCCGGAGAGCTCTTCGAGGTAAAAGGTGATAGGCTCTGACCTACCTTTCACCCTTTCAAAAGTCATTGTCTGAGGAGGTGCAGAGTCGACCAGTTCATCCAGCTTCCTCTTGGCCGAATTTATGGTTAGGTCGTTGAATCCTCCACCATTGATGACCATGGCAGAGGGAAAGTGCTCCCACCTGCTGTGTGTTGACAACGGCTCTTGCAGGTGCTCGGGGACATAGAAGTCCTCAGGTCTTGTGACGGAGAAGGCGGTCTGGATGGGGACCGACTCGTCATATGGTCGGGCATCCTCCTCCGGCTCTCTTGTGTCCCGGGCGTCGCGACGAGGAACGTCGTTTCGCCGATATTGGGCGAGTCTCCCCCTTTTTATGAGGGTCTCGATGGCGTCCTTAAGGTGGACACAGTCCTCCGTCAGATGACCATGGTTCCTATGGTACTGACAGTACTTACTCTTGTCCACCCCGGGTTTGGCAGGAGTAGGTCGAGGGCGCTTGACGCCGCCATCTTTGAAATCCGTGCTGGCGCACTCCGCCAAGATGCGCTCGCGGGAAGCCGTGAGCGGAGTGTATTCTGTGAAACGCCCCGAGGGTCCTCTCTGTTCTCGGACTTCTCGGGATCTGTCCTCTTTTCTTTTCTCCCCGGTTCGTCGAGGAGGAGCGGCCTCTTGGCGCGGGTTGCTGCTAGATCCGTGAGTTCTGGGATCCCGGGCTCTGTTGGCCGCTTCCCTTTCCTCGTAATCCATATATGCCCGAGCCTTCTCGAGGAGAGCATCGAACGTTCGGGGCGGTTCGATGCCCACTGCCTTTCTGAATTCTGTGCCGAGGAGGAGTCCCCTCTCCAGCAAGTATCTTTTCATGTGGTCCGCGCAGGGGACCTGGATGGCTTCACGATTGAAGCGGTTGATGAACTCTCTCAAGGTTTCATCCTATCTCTGGATGATGGCCTCGAGCGCTGCCTCGGTCTTTGGATGTCGCCGAGACGCAGTGAACGAACTTATGAATTGATTCTTCAGGTTTCGCCACGAGGTGATTGACCCCAGGGCAAGACCTTTATACCAATTCATTGCTACCTTCCTGAGGGTGGTGGGGAACAACCGGCATTTGATGGGTCCCCCGATATTATGGTAATGCAACATAGCCTCGAACCCGTTTATGTGGTCGACTGGGTCCGCGACTCCATCGTATTCTTTCAGATATGGAGGCTTCTCCATGCCCGGGGGAATGGGCGCCTCCATGATGGCCTGTGAAAGGGGACCGCGGGGGTCGTCCTCGTCACTTTGCTCTGGGGATAGGGACGAGGACCTGAGGTACTGTTGGGCACGCCGGTCCTGATCGTGTTGGACGTCCCTCGAGCGGTACGCTCGCTGATCCGTCCTTCCATGCCTGTCTCCAGTGTGTCTTCGTTTTTGCCGTGAAGGGCCATGGTTGTGCCCTTCGGCCTCAATGACTGGGTCCCTCTCCAAGGGGGGTCGTCTCCCCGGTTGTCGAGGTGAAGGGCTTCGGAAGATGTCTCTATATTGTCTCCGCGGGGGAGACATACCTCTGTTACTCGAGGAGGTGGGGTTTGAGGCCTCCTGTGTCTCCTTGGGGGTCTTATGTCGTCCTCTAGCGCCCTCAATCTTTCCCCCTGGGCAAAGATGAGGTAGTTGGTTTGATTGATTGCCGCGAATAGTGCTCTGATCGTGGCATCTGCCCCAGCGGGGACAGGGACTTCCTGAAATTGGGCAGCTAGATAGTTTGGGGGAGCCGTATTGTCTTCTTCGAGTGGAGGAGGGACTGAAGAAGATGAGGCAGAGGCTCCGTCGCGGTGGCCTGAGGGCCCGGGGATGTTACCCCCGGGAAGTGTGCTATGGCCGGGATTGCCGGCATTTTCGGGGATTCCGTTCTTATCCGCGAGGTTGTTGTTGGCGTCGACGACGCGGACGTTCTGATCATCCCGAACTTGGTCAGCCATGACGGTAGGAGGTGATTTTTAGCTTTGGTCTTCGAGAGTTTGCAAGACGGGGAGGCTAGATTCCCACAGACGACGCCACTGATCTTACCTGATCAGACTTGGACCGTCACGGCTGGCTCGAACTGAATTTGAGTGAGATGGGGGGTATCTGCAAGACACTCTGATGCTAAAATGAGAGACGGAATGAGCAGGCAAAAAATGTATAGGTGTGTAATAGATGAATACCTAACCCTCTGGGAACAGAGGGTATTTATAGCCCTCAACGATGGGTCAAGGTCCCCTCATTGGGCTGACCAAAATTGGCCCAATAAAAGAACTGTCAGGTTCTACGTGTGTAGTGAGGCCCCGCACGTGGTCCCCTTCCTGGTGGTGCTCTGCGAAGAATAAGGAGGGACGAAGACGCGGTCTTTCCGGAGCTTAGAGGATTCTATAACGGTCAGAGTGGACAGAATTTGCCCTACGGGGAGGGTACTCGAGCTGGAATTTCCTTGGTCGGGGACACTGCGTCTCGCGGACGATGGCGGACATAGCGGCTACAGTCTGTGGTCGGACACGTCGACGGTGGTCTGTTCGTGAGCATTCCCCGAAGAGTTTGCTTGGACTGGGCCTTTATCTGCGCTTTGGGCCAAGGCGGGCCCAATCCAAAACAGGAATACCAATAACAAAATTTAATTTTCAAACAATCCACTAGTTAACATGACAGTTGATCCCCTTAAATTAATTGATTTCTGTTAAATTAATCGGTCTCAAGGTCAATACCAAATTAAAGAAAAAGTGTATTTAAATTACCACAAACTTTATAACAAATGGAAAATATTATATTAAAAATGATACCACTATTAGAAAATGTAATTTTATAAAAATAATTAATGTTGTAAGAGATATATCACTTATTTTAAAAACAATTTATTTTTGCATTATTTTAGATTGGAGAGAGTATTATTTTACAGTATTTTGTGCAGTCTTGCCATAGCTAAGGAATTAGATGGACTTAAAGAAGTACCGATGAGTCAAAATAGTGAGTCAGCATCATCTTAGCAAAGGCAACCATCTTTTTTTGTTAAAATAAAGAAAAAATACCCATCTTTTTAACATATAACTTTCCAGGAGACCCTTAAATGTCCCATCTCTTCTTAACCCGAAACATTAATACTGAAGATTTTATGTCATCTTGTGGCACTTGAAGCATGAATTGAACTTTCATCTTCATCGGAGCTGTTTTTGCTTTCCCGCCTTCATCTCCAACCTGAATGAGTCCAATGCTGTCAGTAAGGAACTTCAGACACTAGGCTTATACTTTTCATGCTACTCACTATCATTCTGAATTTCTCAGTATAAAGATGGAGACTACTTTTGGAATACCGAAACTTGGCTTCTAATTTAATACTAGTTTAAGTTTTGAGAAATTAAATTAGGAGAGTTTTGAAATTACAGCAAAAATCCAAGTAAAGAGGAGATAAAAGCAGTATTGACAATAATTTTATACTGAATAAACGGCTAAAGCACTAAACCATTTTAACTAGATATATGCTACGGCTCAAAATGTTGAGGGGAAGGAGTACATGCATGATGCATCCTTTATATTCAGGAAGCAGTGTCATGCTATGTCTACAACTGTAAAATTCCAATGTCAGTCAATATGCCTATGACTATAATAGTAGCATCATGAATTATAATCCGAAATATAGGAGTTCAAAGTCAACAGACAATTAGTAATGTATGGCCACAATTAGAAATACAAAATTGACAGGAGTATATACAGATGGTATCAATGACATTGGTTATGAAAAACAAAACTGCAAAATGAGATACATACCCAAAGGGATGCCCAGCCAAGGCGAACCTCTGAATCATAACCAGCTTTAAATTTGAAATCTTCACCATAGGTATGCTTGTAGACAGCACTCCAATCGTTGGAATCACAATTGTACCAGTAACTATCCATAAAGCATTTTAAGAGACATATCATCAGCAAGGACACTAGCTTATTATTTTAAGGGCCTTGTTAACAAATTCCCTTAAGGGCGCTGGATAAGTAACTTTAAGTACATTTGCAAAGAAAGCACAAAAATAAGGACTCCAATGAGTGTCTTTGGCCAAAATAACTTATTCATTGATGAACTTGTTCATGCCGTACCTTAACCCATCAATATCTCTCCAACGAAAAGGCAAAGGAAAAACCAACAAACCATAGCCAAAAATGAAAATTCTAACAATCAACTAGGGACAGTTGTTAAATACCATCCATAGGTGCACTGGGCCTATATTGCAACAGCGTAGCGGAATTTAGACAAACTCTCCTATTATTGAGCGGTATGCTATTCAGTACAAAATGTTGTCAAATAACGGTTATAGTGATACTAGCGCATTCTTGCGTAGCAATATTTTAACAATTCATTATTTTTCATTATCTGTGATCGACAAGATTGCTTTTAGGTTGGACCTAGTCGGTGTATGCTATCAACGGAGTAATAGGAAAAAGGAGGAATGGGGATTGTAAGTTCTAACCTTAACTTGTGAGAAGGAGCAAACCTTCGCTTGAAGGCAAATGAGAAATCCTTTGAAGGGAGAGAAAGTATTGGAAGAAATGACATTTCATCGTCCTGCATTTATTTGAAGGATTCAATAGTAATCTCAAGTGAAACAGAAAGAAAAGTAAGAAAGTACCTTGTAGCGATATCTTAACTTGAATTCTTCATCCTTGTAGTGAGCAGTGCAGAGACCCTTGAAAAATTGAGATTGAAGAGTTCCAGTGACTGACAAGGAATATTGGACTTGTTGCTCCTCCTTCTCCTTCTCCTTCTCTTGTAAAGAAATTTCACCTTGAGGAAATTTGAAGGTTGCTTTGGGCTGGCAACATATATTTGAAATGAATTGAAATTTGCTTTGGGCTGGCAACATATATTTGAAATGAATTGAAATTTATGATAGTATATGCAAAGAAGACGAAAGGTGGAGAAGAAGATACCAATCGAGTGGAGGGAAGAAGTGTTGATAGTTGAAGTGCATATCCAGGGTTATCAAGGTTTGCAACCATTGTAACCTCTCCTTGTTGAGCCTAAATAATACCAGTTAGGTCAAGAAAGTGAGAACATAAGTACCGAGAGGAATAAACAAACCTTGACATCGTGAGTACCAATGAGTTTCAATTTTGGACCCACGTCAATGGAACTGTTAACGATAGCACTGTGATCTTCAAGGTCGTAGTGGAGACTGAGATACTTGGATACGAAACTGATCTGAGGCTCAGCGATCTCTCCTTTACTGTTATTATGAAAAGCTAACTTTAACTTGGCAAGGCTGTCCAAAAACTTGCAAGAAATTTTGTGGAAGAAAATGGTGCTTTCACTATCAAACTCAGTCGTAATTCTTAGGGCAGGCCTCTTCGGAAACGGCAGAGGCTCCGGAGAGTAATTAGGGTTTTCCGGACCAGAATCCATCTCTACCGTCCACTCACTATATTCTCCTTATCTCACTCTGCAACACTAAACTCACCCGCCGACTCTATATACATTCTGGTCCACCACACCACAGCTTTCATTCCATCATAATAATAATAATAATAATAATAATAATAATAATAATAATAATAATAATAATAATAATAATAATAATAATTAATTTTTTTAAGGGCAAAATGAGAAATATATTACAATTAAAATAAATTACTCCAATACAACATGTACTCAAGATTATAAGAAAGAATATGAAATTACAACATAAAATTTTAAATAATCAATAGCATAAAAATGATTGTAAAACACTTGATAAATAAAATAAAGGATTTTACCTCTAAATGTGATAAACAAGATTCTACATTCAAGGTAAGTGTGAGAATCTATATTATTATGGGAGTATATGATGGGTATATAATAGGATTTGGTATGTGAATTTTTAGATTTTGAATCATTCAAATTGATTTAGGGATTTGGAAATTAGGTTTTTGAAATCTAATTTTTATGATATAAATAGGTTATGTATGATGTATACATGTTAGAATATGTTTACTTGGTGAAAAATGGGCATTAGAACCTATCTCTATGGTGATTTTCGTGCACAAGTCAGTAACTGTTCGCAACAGATTTTTCTGGTTTTCGCAGAGGGCGTTTAGCGCAGGTGGCTGGACACATACAAATTATTTTATGCATGAATGGGATTGGAATCTTGTATGTTATGATTTATCATAGATTTACATGTATTTTAATAATTTATTTGACTTGATTCTGATTGATTTTGGAAGCGTTTTGATGAGAAACTTAGCACTTGAATTGTGTATGTAAGTGTTGGAATTTGATAGTGTTTGAATATAGCATGATTTGCATCTAATTGTTACATGTTATAATGATGTGTTGAGATAATTTATACTATGAGATTGTGTATATGTGATTGATTGGCATGAAAGATATATGTTGTGCAATATTGTGAAGATAATTCAAAATATGTTGAATTATGTGATGAGTTGTTGAGATTGCACATGTACATGCATCATTTGTGTCAAGAGGCAAGGTTCGGTAATTTCGTGGGAACTATTAACTTGTCCCAAACCTAACGTTGAATGAGGTTTACAAGCTTAAGGCTGAATCGATTTTATTGGTGGTTATCTGTCTTGGAGATGTGGACCCGACAAGACCAGTAAGGATAATATTTGGTACCACATGCATAATGCATTTGAGTTGCATTGGAGTCACATGTGACGATGTGAATTGTTCATTTATTATGCATTATGTGATGTTAGTGTGAATGTTGTGGTTGGTGCGAAAAATGTTTGCATTATCTGGTTCTGAGACCGCGGATGAGAATAAACTAATCAGAGGTATGTGCTTTATTAATGGTACACCTTTGATTGCTATTATTGATACTGGTGCGACGCATTTTTTCATTTCCTTGGATTGTGTTAAGAGGTTGACTCTTGAGTTATCTAGTATCACTACACCAAATTTGTCTTTTAGCAGCACCCCTACTAAAGCGCTTTTTATAAAAAGCGCTGGTATAGGTTGCGCTAAAACAAAATAAAAAAACACGCTAAAAAAGCGCTCTTAAAGGGGGGGGGTTACAAAAGCGCTTTCAGAAAGCGCTCTTAGAGGCTGGGGTACGAAGGCGCATTTGAAAAGCGCTCTTATAGTGGGGGGGTATGAAAGCGCTTTCTGAAAGCGCTCTTATAGGGGGCTTATGAAAGCGCTTTCAAAAGCGCTGATATAGGGGGTGGGGTACAAGAGCGCTTTTATCCTCAAAAGCGCTGGTATAGCCTTAGTTACGAAAGCGCTTTTCAAAAGCGCTGTCATACCCTCTTTACAATTAAAATTTTTTAAAACAAGAAATCGTTCATTCTCACAAAATCTTGCATTCTCAGAAAACTCTTGCATTCTCAGAAAACTCACAAAATCGTTTCAAAATCTTGCATTCTCAGAAAACTCACAAAATCGTTTCCAAATCCCTAAGCTTGGAATCGTCTTCAATCGTTTCCAAATCCCTAAGCTTGGAATCGTCTTCTCCGTTCTCAATCGTCTTCTTCGAAAGAAAAAAAGCTTGGAATACTTAAGGATCAAGAGCTTGCTTCATCAAGTCGTCTCCAATATTTCATCATCATCTTCTTCCTAGAGGTGAGTTCATAGTTAAATTTTAGCTTTGAGAGAAAAATCCATGGTTGGGAAGTTAGGGTTTGTGTTGTTGTTGTTATGAACATGAAACTTGATGACGATACATGCTTACTTGTGTGATTTCATGTTGAATGTGTTGTGGTGTTGGTATTATAATTATTTTGGATTATGTTGGAATCATGAGATATGTTTGATTGTTGTTGATTCTTGAGAGTTTACATGTGGATTTCACTAATGTTAGAATATGGTTAGCATGTTATGGATTATCGAGTTAACAATAGTTGAATTCTTCTCATCATAGATAAGATGTTTCCTTTTCATGTGATTAATTTGGTTTAGGCCTTATCTGCTATTGGATGTAAATATTGAACTCTTGACTTAGCCTTGAATATTGGTACTCCAAAGTAATCAAAGTTTGTGTGACTTGTGTTGAAACCAAAGATGCATGCAACTTGTGGATAGCCTAAAAACCAAGGATACCTTGCATTTTGTGGGACTAGGGCGATGGCATGAATTTTAAGCATATTCATGTAATAATTTGTGGATAGGATATGCATCACTTTTGGTAGCTTTACAAAATATCTGAGATCATCTACAAAGAAAGTGTGACTTGGAAACTTAGTTTTGTCATGAGCGATACATGTAATATGTCTTTGTTCAATCATGTTTGCAAATTGTCTTCTTAAGCATCTTCAACAATGCAAAATAGTAAAATAGAAATGGAATTTCCTTGTCTTATTCCTCTAGAACAGTTGAAAAAGCTTGTTGCCTTGTCATTAACTAAATTGATAATTTGGTTGAATGAAGTATTGTTGTAATTCAATTGCAAAATATAATATTAAAGCCAAAGTTCTTAAGCATATAGAATAAATAACTCCATTTTGAGTATCAAATGCTTTTTTTTTTATATCAATTTTCATAGCCATGTTTCTTTCAAAAGATTTCTTGTACTATGTCTCATATGAATCCTCTCCGATTCTCTAAGACTATTTTTGGAGCCAATCTAATAAGCTTAACAGTTATGATCTTGCAATAAGTTTAAAGTTTTCTATTGTAAATGTTCCATGAAATTTGGATATCCAAAATAATATTGTTAAAGTTAAAAGTGGGTAGGGTCCAATTTTGTGTAAACAACTGTATAAGTAAGGCTATGACTTATTTATCAATCAATGTAAAACTCAGTATACCTGGTAACTATTCATCAGTAAGATTTGTGATTTTATTTTTCAATGAAAATATGAAAAATATATAATTTTCTCTTACACATATGTAAATTATTATATTTTTCACTTTTTAAATGATATTTAAATATATTTATTATATTTTCATTAAAAAATAATAAAAATCACACCTAAAAATTTGTATCTAGTTATCTAGATCGTTAAAACAGTAACTCTTTTAGAGAATTCAAATCCATAAAATAAGATACCATATTTTGATGTAGATTTTTCTTTTCAATTTTCTTTCAAAATTTTTATAATTTATCTATATTTATCTAACTCGATAATAAAGCTTAATCATAATTCCAAATTTCAATTATATCCTACTTTAAATTGTAAATAATTTTTTGGATTGTTTTGAGGACTGATAATTGATTACCACATACTGGTAATCGATTACCACTGACCATATGGAAAATTACCAAATTGAAAATGATGTGGCTTGAGTTTCATAACTCTATTTTGGACGCGGTCGGAAGCGTTAAAAAGCTAACACTGAGGGATATTACATAGATAAGTTTCCATGAGTTTATTTAAATTTACTTTTCCCGTTGAGTCTGGTTAACCCCATCATAGGATGATTCGATAGGCGCTTACTATGTGGCGTGAAAGTGGAATAAGTTAGAATGAGACGAGTCATATGATGGCTCTGCCTAAGGTTTATAGGGATATGTTAGACTATCATGTGTGTTTCATGTATGCTTATGATTTATGCAATGGATTGGTTCCTTGTGTCCACCATAAAACAAGAATCATATCTGATTATTGTGAGGTCGAATATATTAGAAAGTTAGTCAAATGCCTCGTCAATTGATGAGAAGAAATCATGATTGAGCCATGACTAATGTTTGGGTATTGGTAATGAATTGGTTATGTGTGTTTTTGAATCATATTATGAATTGTTGTTTGTGTTTATTGAATGATAATTGAGCAAAAACTATGATGAAAAGTGAAGTTAAATCTAGATTTGTACTAAGTGAATGACTTAGAAAGATAACTTAGGTAATGAAAATGATTTAGGTAGTGTGGCTTGGACGCAATGATACCTCGGTGTGTATCACAGACAAGTATTCGCTTGATTTTAAGAATAGTTGAGCATATTTTAAAGTTGTTGTGTTCTCTTGACAGTTGTTTTAAGATAAGTTGTCGACTAGACAAAACTTACTAAGGCGCAATCGTCTTCCATCTTTGCTGATTTTGAGAATAAAGTTTTGGTATTGCTTCTCAATCGTCTTCCATCTTTGCTGCTGCTTTTTGCTGTTTTGCTATTTGAATTGAATCTACTCACATCTTCGTCTAAGGTGATTTTCATTATTTTATTATTATGCCTTACAGTGTAGCTTTTTTGGTGAATATCATTATATTATATATCTTTTTTTGAATTTCTTTTCAATATGCTTGAAATAGATAGATCAATCAATGTCTCTAATATTGCTCTTTAGATATTGTTTAACATCCAGCATATGGCTTAGTAGTAGTAAGCTTAGATGCTGAGTTTGTATAGTTAAGAGTGTGAATCTGCTGAAATTAAATGCTGAGTTTGTATAGTGAAGTGAAAATATGGATTAAGGGATAAAATGTGTATAATTGATATTGATATAACTGTAATCATAAATTTTAGTC